CGGCAACCCCATGATATCCCCGGCTGCCGGAAAAACACCGGCTTGCGGCGGCGGAGGAGGCACTGGGAGCAGCCCGCCACCCACCACCGGAAAGTTCGGGTGGGGACGATACAATACCGCCGGCGGCGGTGGCGGTGGCGGCGGCGGCGACGGGAGAATGTCTGCAAAGGCCCGAACGCATACGGTGCTGACAATCTTTGCGACGGCCCAGAGGACGGCGGCCCGGTTCTCGTGGATCAGCCGGAGGCTAATTCCTCCGCCTGCGAGAATTTCCGGCAGCAGGGTGACGTTTCCGGCGGCGGCTAAGGGGAAGGAGTCGGACTCGGCGCAGCGGAGGCAGAGGGCGGCCTCGGCGGCGGCGGCGTTGAGGAGAGCGGGAGGGAGGGAGAGGAGGCGGCTAACGAGGGAGGTGTCGTGGAATTCACGCTCGAGCCAGATGAAGAAGGCGGCCACCCGGACCGACTCGGCCGGGTCGCGGGCGAGGGGGTGGGTCAGGCGGGCGAAGAGCTCCCGGTCGATTGAGTGGAAGAGGTTGAAGGCCTCGTCAGAGACCTGCGGCGGCCGGGTCTCCATCGGGAAGAGGGACTGAGCGGTGGCGGCGGCGGCGGTTCTTGAAGAGTCGGCGTCCATTTTTATTTTTATTTTTTAATTTTTCTTTTTTTTTTTGGGTTTGTTATAAATGCTGATACATGTACGGGAACAGTGTTGAGTGAAAATAGACTTGAGTGTATGTATATATGTATGTATGTATATGTGAAAATGGTGACTTTTAGACGGAGGGACGCACCTTTTGCAGTCTGTGCGTCGGATTATGGTACTGTTGAAGTCATTTGAAAATTTGATTTATTACTATTTTTTGGAAATTCATATTTATTAACATAAGATTATGAGATTATCCATATTATTTAGTTAGTAAATCTAAATAAATTGCTGTGTCTTTTTTTTTTAGAAAAAAAAGTTTACACTTATTTTTTTTTTCAAATACAAGCATTTATTTAATTTTTTTAAAAGGTTTTTATTTAAATATAAATCATCATGGATAAAACTCACTCGTCCTAAATCCTAATTAATATTATCAGATTTTGTCTAATTAAAAGACTTGACGAATAAAATTATTTATTATTTGGCAATTAGACTTGATTATGTAATTAAATTTGTTGCATTGCATGAATGTAGATGTATATTTACTGTATATGCAATATTGAATTGGATGTTAACAAAAAACAATTCATATAATTTGATATCTTAATTATGAAATAAAATAATAACAAATTAAAAGTTTATAACTGTTATTATTTAAATTGGCCATTCTTTTTGTAATTTTAAAATTCTCAGCAAATATAGATAAAAATCCAAAAAGCGCAAATACTATTAATCTGATACATAATATTATGAAATGACCATAAATGGACCCATAAAATGATAAAATAATAAATCTATACGGCTATACCTATATAAAGAGAGAACATATTTATCTTATTCTATTTTCAATAGTTTTTTAATTTTTTTTTTAAATTATTTTAAAAAAAAATCGAACAACTATATATGCACCCTAAACATCCCATATTATTTGGCTACTAATTTCTTTAGTTCGAAATTTTTTAAACATAAAATAGAGTTAGATGATATTAATTTGAAATTCAAAATGAAATCGGATTGGAACATCCTAAAAATTTGAGTTTTGTTTAATCCTATAAAATACAAACTTGAAATTGATTGCATATTAATTTACAATTTTTAAGGCTATAGATTATCAAGAAAGTCGTTTTACAATCTTCATTATATTTGTTATGCAATTTTCATTAAAACCATTATAAATATATATCTTGATAAATAATTTAATTAATTTATTTAAACCTATTTAGAATCCTAATATAAGTAGGTGTCAAGTGTTTATTTTCTTAGATACAGTTTACACAAAGGAGGTACGTTGTTTTTTGTTTAATGATATATAAGTTCCATTTTGTTTTATTCAAAATACATGTTTTTTACGTTATATAAGTTATATTTTATTTATCCCAATACATGCTTTTACGTTTTTCTAATCATCCAAATATAAATGTTTACCTTAATAACATTAACTCGTGCATCACACGGTACCGCACTAGTATAGTATAATTTAACACTCAAACTCAATAAAATCTGCATAATGAATTACATATTACACTACCTTATTAACTTCTTTCTGTTTGCTATCTTTCATATTATATTGGGTGTATTCAATACAAATGTTGTTCATATTGTAACTTGTAACATCTAATTTTATCTTCAATTTCAATTCGAAGATGCAAAATATAATATATGTTGTTATATCATAGAGATCTTATTAGTTATAGGTGCACGTAATTTAAACCTTTGAGACCAAAATTACATGCAACGAACTTGAAAGGGATTATTATAGAATCAAGTCCATTATTGATAGGAAAAATTCTATTGGAAGGCCTAACTTTTAGTATATGTATTAATTGAATGCATGAATTTTATACTTTTTCAAAAGAAGACTTACATTTTAGATTATTCTCACTTTAAGACTTACTTTTTAGTTAACTTTTCATTATAAGACCCAACTAACTTTACTTTTTCATATAAATATGTAAAGCAACTATTATGTGAATAAAAATATTATTATTATTATTATTATTATTATTATTATTATTATTATTATTATTATTATTACATACTTATAATAAAAACATAATAAATATCTTTAGTAAAATTATATTAAGAAAAATGAAACTATATAAATTACAATGATGCGAAACTATATAAATTATATTTATGCAAAAAGTTTAACAATGAAAAATTACACTATTGAAAATAGATGTTTATGTAGTTTCATTTTTTATTAATATAATTTTACTATCTTAGTTTCCCATCATTGTAATTCCAAGTAATTTTTATATAGTTTTATTTTTTATTAATATAATTTTACTAAAGATTTATTGTTTCTTATTATGAGTATGTAAAATAATAATAATAATAATAATAATAATAATAATAATAATAATAATAATAATAATAATAATAATAATAATAATAACACTTTTATTCACATAATAATTGTTTTATATATTCATATGAAAAAATAAAGTTAGTTAGGCCTTATAATGAAAAATTAACTAAAAAGTAAGCCTTAAAGTGAGAATAACCTAAAATGTAAGTTTTCAATTGAAAAGTATAAAATTCAGGTCTTATATTATATACTAAAAGTTAGGCCTTCCAATTGGGCACTCAAGTACCCAAAATTGAAAAATTGAGTTTCATTGTAATTTCAATTTAAATTTATAGTATACACTGGCCCCTTTTTTTAGAAAAAATAATGGTTCAACGAATAATATATATTTTTTAATTGTCATAAATTAGAATACGATTTTTGGATTAATTATCAAAAGAATTAATAAATAAAATTTTCTATTAGGTAAAAAAAAA